TCCCCCCCCCCCAAAAAAAGACATAATATATTTTTTTGTCCTTCAATATTTCTTTTATTGAAGATGTTTGTTATGTAGTAAACAACAAAAGAAAGACAAAACAGTCTTGATACAAGATAATAGAATACAGAACAATTCAGTTGTTACATACATATGTATCACTATGCATTGGGGTCCAAGTCCTAGCTGCTATGTAGAGCTTGGGACACAATATATAAGACCCATTGAGTTACTAAGACATAATATTAACAGGGGCCAAACACAGGACTGGTGGTCCTATTGGCAATGAAAATGGGGCCTACATGTGTTCCAGCACATGAACAACAAAGACAAAAAAATGCACCTCCTGAAATTGTTGCTGGGTGGTGGTGGTGGTGGTTGGGCTCTTTCCCACCTCCTTGGCACAGAGGACATGTTGGAAGGGTAAAGCTATTTGTAAATGCAGCCTTTCCTATCTTGCATATTGACTAACAGGTTAGAGACTTATACATAACAAACTACCATCCCTGAGCAAGGTTTGTAAGTCTGGGAATTAACACCTATGCAGACCTCTGGACATCAAGGATTGGGTTATGTAACTAGCACAGGTGGGGGGGGGGGTCCACAACTTTCACACCTCACATCCTGTTCTTGGACAATCAACAACTACACTGTCTGTGCTCCCGGTGTAGAAAGTGAGGATCATCAGCACTCGGAAGATGACGTTCAAATCTTAGCGTTTATTTGTGTTCAGAGTCTACCGTACCCCTGATAATCGAATGACCAGAATCTGATGCCAACCTGTGGTGTGCTATGATCCGGTGGACAGCAATGCCAGATAAGGGGGCATGCCCTGTAATGAAATGAAAATGGGAGGGAGGGGGTGCCTGAATCCTGATCGTCACAGGCAAGTGAAACCCCCTGCCAGCTTTATATGGGGCAGGGCCCTCCTTACCGTCTTGTCTTGAATTGTATTGTGATTGTAATGTCTTCCTTACATTGTAAAGCGCTGTGCAAACTGTTGGCGCCATATAAATCCTGTATAATAATAATATGCCTGGGAGGCAATGACTCCTCCCACAAGTACAGGCTAATTAATTAGCCTTCCAACTTATCAGGGCAACATAGGTCACTATGTTACCCTGATGAGGGGTCCGTGTATGGCCCCGAAACGTTGGCTTTGTGACATATGTGACGATGTGTTTGAATAAATGAACACTAAGATTTGAACGCCGTCTTCTGAGTGCTGGCGATCCTCGCTTTCTACTAATGGATGTACACGGCGCCATCTGTGATTATTATCACTACAAGCACCACCATTGTTATTGGTCCTAGATGCTGTAAGGAGTGCAGGGGGACACATAGGTATACCACGCTGTGCTCCCTGTGTGGATGTAAATGCTTCTTAATATACTCATTGTGACTGAAGAAGTGGCTTGCAGAAGCTACGAAACATCTTCAACACTACAGAACAGGTCAAGTCGGATGTTTCTATCTACTACTATAGATACCGTGACTGAGATGATGAGAACTTTCCCAGAGTTACATTACAAATTAGTCAAATTCAACTGGACTTGTTCTGTAATGTTCTAGGTGTCGGGAACATAACCTATCATTTATAGCCACAAAGGGAACTGTATACATTCTGCGGTATGTTCCTAACACTCGTTAGGACTGAGGAGGCCACTTGGATTCGTATGAAATGTCTTCACTGTTATAGAAGTAATCCAGTTTAATATAATTAACTACTACTAGCTGTACCATGGTCTTGGACCAAAGTCGTTGACCTTCACAGACACATTACAGTTAAGCTTTGGCCAAATTAAGACCACAATTCACCAGTGTATTAAGCAATGTTGGATATGATAGATGTACAGTATGTATATTCTATTGTGTTCTATCTATACTCTGATATAGTCCAAGAAGGATCCTTTTGAGATTGGTGTAGTGATTGTTTTGGTGACCCTTTACCTTCTCCTCATAGCTGGCGGCATTTGTCCTGGACACGGAGGGCTCCTTGGATATTGAAGGTGATCGGGAGACCTGTCTCAAACTGTCTGCACTGTCTATGCTCCTCAGCTCATATCTGGTACTAGATTCCAGTCTTTGTCTGTTTCATATGCAATGCTCCATTATGGTGTATCTATCAGTTGATGATAATGTGTCAACTTATATGTCTTCTGCAGATATTTAATGTGAACTCAAGTGTGAAAACCACAGAACTGGATTATCTGGAGGTAGGTGGTCTGTGAGATCTCGGGTTTTCAAATGAATACAAATTGAGCAGCTTCTACCGAAGGTATCCGGTCCTCGCTCTGTGGTCACTTCCTTATATTTTCCTTATTTGAGCAGGTATGTGTCTCCGCTATCTATGTGTCCCCGCTATCTATGTCTCCCCGCTATCTATGTCTCCCCGCTATCTATGTCTCCCCGCTATCTATGTCTCCCCGCTATCTATGTCTCCCCGCTATCTATGTCTCCCCGCTATCTATGTCTCCCCGCTATCTATGTCTCCCCGCTATCTATGTCTCCCCGCTATCTATGTCTCCCCGCTATCTATGTCTCCCCGCTATCTATGTCTCCCCGCTATCTATGTCTCCCCGCTATCTATGTCTCCCCGCTATCTATGTCTCCCCGCTATCTATGTCTCCCCGCTATCTATGTCTCCCCGCTATCTATGTCTCCCCGCTATCTATGTCTCCCCGCTATCTATGTCTCCCCGCTATCTATGTCTCCCCGCTATCTATGTCTCCCCGCTATCTATGTCTCCCCGCTATCTATGTCTCCCCGCTATCTATGTCTCCCCGCTATCTATGTCTCCCCGCTATCTATGTCTCCCCGCTATCTATGTCTCCCCGCTATCTATGTCTCCCCGCTATCTATGTCTCCCCGCTATCTATGTCTCCCCGCTATCTATGTCTCCCCGCTATCTATGTCTCCCCGCTATCTATGTCTCCCCGCTATCTATGTCTCCCCGCTATCTATGTCTCCCCGCTATCTATGTCTCCCCGCTATCTATGTCTCCCCGCTATCTATGTCTCCCCGCTATCTATGTCTCCCCGCTATCTATGTCTCCCCGCTATCTATGTCTCCCCGCTATCTATGTCTCCCCGCTATCTATGTCTCCCCGCTATCTATGTCTCCCCGCTATCTATGTCTCCCCGCTATCTATGTCTCCCCGCTATCTATGTCTCCCCGCTATCTATGTCTCCCCGCTATCTATGTCTCCCCGCTATCTATGTCTCCCCGCTATCTATGTCTCCCCGCTATCTATGTCTCCCCGCTATCTATGTCTCCCCGCTATCTATGTCTCCCCGCTATCTATGTCTCCCCGCTATCTATGTCTCCCCGCTATCTATGTCTCCCCGCTATCTATGTCTCCCCGCTATCTATGTCTCCCCGCTATCTATGTCTCCCCGCTATCTATGTCTCCCCGCTATCTATGTCTCCCCGCTATCTATGTCTCCCCGCTATCTATGTCTCCCCGCTATCTATGTCTCCCCGCTATCTATGTCTCCCCGCTATCTATGTCTCCCCGCTATCTATGTCTCCCCGCTATCTATGTCTCCCCGCTATCTATGTCTCCCCGCTATCTATGTCTCCCCGCTATCTATGTCTCCCCGCTATCTATGTCTCCCCGCTATCTATGTCTCCCCGCTATCTATGTCTCCCCGCTATCTATGTCTCCCCGCTATCTATGTCTCCCCGCTATCTATGTCTCCCCGCTATCTATGTCTCCCCGCTATCTATGTCTCCCCGCTATCTATGTCTCCCCGCTATCTATGTCTCCCCGCTATCTATGTCTCCCCGCTATCTATGTCTCCCCGCTATCTATGTCTCCCCGCTATCTATGTCTCCCCGCTATCTATGTCTCCCCGCTATCTATGTCTCCCCGCTATCTATGTCTCCCCGCTATCTATGTCTCCCCGCTATCTATGTCTCCCCGCTATCTATGTCTCCCCGCTATCTATGTCTCCCCGCTATCTATGTCTCCCCGCTATCTATGTCTCCCCGCTATCTATGTCTCCCCGCTATCTATGTCTCCCCGCTATCTATGTCTCCCCGCTATCTATGTCTCCCCGCTATCTATGTGTCCCCGCTATCTATGTGTCCCCGCTATCTGCTAGTGAAAATGCAGAACACATTCAGGCATATCTATGACATCCACAGGCCTGCACTACAATCTCACATTTGGTTTACTGATTTGTATTGAGATTGTAGTCCATCCCGGGGGGGGGGGGGGGCAGGGGGGGGGGTGCA